TTTCAAGCCAAACTTCTCCGCAGTATGGACGAGTCTGGACCCGATCCTGAGGCATTTAAGGACCTACGCAGCGCCACTGACATAGCGCTGCGAGCTACAAAAGCCACCGCCCAATCCATCGGCCGTGCTATGGCTAACCTGACTGTCCTTGAGCGCCATCTGTGGCTGACGCTAACAGAGATGAAGGATGCAGATAAGGCGTCATTTCTCGACGCGCCTATCTCCCAAAGCGGCCTGTTTGGACCAGCGGTGAAGGAGTTCGCCGAGCGCTTCACCGAAGCCCGTAAGGACTCACAGGCTATGCGTCACTTCCTGCCCAAGCGATCTAGCTCATCGCAGAGCTGCCAACGGCCGCCTCAGCAGCAGCGAGCTAAGACGGCGCCTCCCGTCTCTCAGCCCAAACCTGAAACGGATTTTCGACGCCGCTCGCGCTCTGCCAACAGGAAACAACCGCCCGAGCGACGGGGACCTCGGCCCAGGATTGTGCTGAACCCAGAGCCTCGTAAGTCCTCCTAGCTACAGGGAGGAAAAGGGAGAGCGCGTGTCTCGCAAGAGCCGGACCGTTCTCTCCAAAAAGTTTAAAGCATTACCCAGTCCCCTTACAGGCGGCTGGAAATGTCTATACAGCAGCCAATGTGCCAGCCACACAGCTCGCCCACCTGCAAACAAACGCCGTTTTTACGGCGACACACAGAAATCACATAAAGAGCTATTTTCTGCCTGTGTCATTAAAGGGTCACGTGTCCACACCAAAGTGCGCATTCCCACATATCAAAACTGTCAACGCAGTGCCAAATGTTTTCCCAGCTCAGGCTGGACGCCCCATAAATGTAGATTGTGTGCCAACTGTCACGTATGCACCACTACACACAAGCACTGTTCCCACAGTTATAAACACTTCCCCAGTAAAAGCGGGAAGTTGTATAAGAGTAGCGCGTGTGCCCGCTGTTATGCACGCACCCCAACTCACAAACACTGTTTATATGGCCAAAAACCTCCCGCCACGAGCGGGAAGTTTTATGAAAGTGGCGCGCGTGCCTACCACAGTCTATGCACCGCCACCCATAAGCACTATACACACAGTGTTAAACATTTCCCCATCTCACTCTGTGAGCATTACAGCGAGCGTGCCTGTAATCTCACACGCACCCCTGCACTCGGCATTCAACAGAGCTGCTCAGCGCGCGCCCGCGCCGCTGAGAGCTGTAAGCTCGGTATTAACACAGAACGATTCGCTGGCGGGAGCCATACGTCACTGCGACACGCCCCCGGCCAGCATTCAGCCCATATCTGTGCGAGCGAAAGCTTGGGAAAATATCCCCGACATGCCGAAATGGGTTTTGAACATAATAAAACACGGTTACTCGCTTCAATTCGCTCGCAGACCGCCCCGCTTCACAGCAGTGGTAGAGACGAAAGTGAGAAAAGATGTTTCACATGTTCTACGCACCGAGATGCTCAAACTGATAGAGAAAGGCGCTATAGAGACAGTCCCCCCCTCTATGAGCGAGGCAGGTTTTTACAGCCGCTATTTTCTCGTCCCGAAAAAGGATGGCGGTCTCCGCCCCATTCTAGATCTCAGACATCTGAACAAAGCTTTAATGATTTGCTCGTTCAGAATGTTAACAACCAAGCATATCCTCGCGCAAGTTCGCCTGGGGGATTGGTTTCTGTCAGTGGATCTGAAAGACGCTTACTTTCACATTCCAATAGCGCCTCATCACAGGCCATTTCTGAGATTCGCTTTCGAGGGACAGTCATACCAGTACACAGTACTACCATTCGGCCTGTCACTGGCACCCCGTACATTTACGAAATGTATGGATGCAGCACTTTCCCCCCTGAGACAGCGGGGAGTGCGAATACTAAATTATCTCGACGATTGGCTAATCCTAGCACAATCAGAGAGCCAGTTAGTGACACACAGGTCTTGGATTATCAGTCATCTAGAGTGCCTAGGTCTAAAAATCAATTTTGCAAAGAGCATGCTATCCCCCAGCCAGAATATTTCTTTTCTGGGAATAGTGCTAGACTCAGTGCAGATGACGGCGCGCCTCTCATCAGAGCGCGCGCTCACTATCCGGCGCCTTGCAACATCGTTCAGAGCGGGTGCGCGCGCCCCCGTCAAGCGATTTCAGAGGATGCTCGGTCTCATGGCCTCAGCATCAGCTGTACTCCAGCTAGGATTGTTGCACATGCGTCCTCTCCAACGCTGGCTCAAAAGCCGTGTCCCCACTCACGCGTGGTGCTCGGGCCACTTTTTAATCAGAGCAAATCACGGCTGCATAAAAGCCCTGACGCCCTGGAAAGCTGTCGACTGGTATCAGTCCGGCGTGAGTTTGGGCGTGAACACAAGGAGAAAAATTATCACGACAGATGCCTCCAAAATAGGCTGGGGGGCCCTTTACGAGGGCAGGCCTGTCTCCGGTTTGTGGTCAAACCCGGAGAAGCGCCTACATTTAAACTGTCTGGAATTGAAAGCGGTCGCTTTGGCTCTCAGAGCCCTGCTCCCGTACCTGAAGGACGAGCACGTCCTAGTCCGAACGGACAACATGACGGTAGTCTCGCATATAAATCGTCAGGGTGGACTCAGATCGAGCTCCCTGCACTCGATGGCCAGGGAGCTCCTCCTATGGTCCCAGCGCAACCTGCGCTCGCTGAGAGCAGCGCATGTGCCAGGTGTTCTGAACCAGGGAGCGGACATGCTGTCCAGAGACAAAGTTCTCCCAGGAGAATGGTCTCTCCACCCCCTGACGATTCAGTGGTTATGGCAAACCTTTGGCAGAGCAGAGGTCGACCTCTTTGCCTCCAAGGAAAATGCGCACTGCCCTCTCTTCTTTTCAAAGAGCACAGACGCGCTCGCCCAAGTCTGGCCGAGCCGCCCGCTGTATGCCTTCCCTCCGGTCGCGATGCTACCTCAGGTCATCAGTCGGATCAGGGAGGAGAAATGTGCAGTGCTCCTGGTAGCCCCACTCTGGAAGAACCAGACGTGGTTTCCAGAACTGATGCAGATGATGCAATCTGCCCCATGGCCGATTCCACTGAGGCTAGATCTCCTCAGGCAGGCCAACGGGATGATCCTCCATCCCCGCCCCGATCTGTGGGCCCTCCATGCGTGGCCCCTCAACGGATTCCCGGGAACCTCCCCAGTGGAGTGTTGAGAACCATCACTGAGGCGCGAGCGCCCTCTACGAGGCGCTTATATGCCCAGAAATGGAAGGTGTTCAGTGACTGGTATAAATCCAGGAACCTGAATCCTGAGACATGCGAAGTACCGAGTGTGCTCGTTTTCTTACAAGAGCTGTTGGAGGCAGGCCGCACCCCCTCCACGCTCAAAGTATATGTGGCTGCCATAGCGGCATCACATGAACCGGTCGAAGGACGCACACTAGGGAAAAACTACCTAGTTGTTCGTTTCCTGAGGGGCGCCAGGAGGATAAATCCCCCACGCCCCCCCTCGGTGCCGATTTGGGACCTGGCCACGGTCCTGGACGCACTTAAGCGTGCCCCGTTCGAACCCCTCCGAACTGTGCACCTCAAACAGCTCTCGCTCAAAACTGCTCTCTTGCTGGCTCTCGCCTCGGTCAAGTGAGTGGGCGACCTGCACGCGCTGTCATCAAGCGCTACCTGCCTGGAGTTTGGACCTAACGACAGCAGGGTTGTCCTCGGGCCAAAACACGGGTATATTCCTAAGGTGCTCTCTACTCCTTTCAGAGCACAGGTGATATCTTTGGCCGCGCTATCGTCCCCAGCAGACGAAAGTGACGCTAATTTACTCTGCCCGGTCAGGGCACTCAGAGTATATTTGGAACGTTCTGCCCTGTTCAGACAGACAGAGCAGTTGTTCGTATGCTTTGGCGGCCGCACTAAAGGTCTGGCTGTGTCAAAGCAAAGAATATCGCGCTGGATAGTTGATGCTATAGCGCTGGCTTATGAAGCCAAGGCATGGCCTCCTCGTGGGCGTGGTCGAGTGGGATACCCATTCAAGATATTTGTGCGGCTGCAGGCTGGGCCTCACCGTCCACATTTATCAGGTTTTATAACCTACAGGTCCCCTCATTGCACTCTAACATACTGTCGGTCTAACTATGCATAGGCTGGGGTGTGTACATGCTGAGCATTGTCTCCTCCCTCATAGAATCACATCTTTGAAACTGATGTGGAGGATTTTCCATACATGACAGTACATAAAAATGTGCTTGTGTGTGTCTCTGGACGCCCATCGGGCCGTTCCACGTTGTCCTTTTATAAAGCCCGCCTTCGGCTGGCTCGTTGGATAATTACTTCGCTCAAAGGCTTAGGCACCGGCCTCCGGCTTAATAGAAGCGAAGTCAGCACGCACGGCGTTTTACATGGCGTTCCCATAGCGTAAGCTTACGCAATAGGAGGAACCTCTCGAAAGGGAACGACTCGGTTACTAACGTAACCTCGGTTCCCTGAGAGGAGGGAACGAGTATTGCGTAATCTGCCGTGCTTGTGCTTGGTCAGTTTGCTTCAGTCGATTGAACCTAAAGAACTCAGATGACGGGGCGCCCAATATATAGCCCTTGGCCACGCCCATCTTGGCGGGCTCTGACGCGCGTGGGCGCGAAGCACGCTCATTGGAAGCGGGTTCAGAGTCCCCCGTCATTGGTTCGTGCAAGTTGCCGCAGCACAGCCAATGACCGAGCTGCCTCGCTCATTGCTGTATGCTGTGCAGCTGCAATGCGTTTTACATAAAGACTTCAATATTTCTCGAGAAAAGGAGTTTTCCCATAGCGTAAGCTAACGCAATACTCGTTCCCTCCTCTCAGGGAACCGAGGTTACGTTAGTAACCGAGTCGTTCTCCGTAGCTGCGGGGTCATGTAGCCAAAAGGACATCCCTTTAATAGTTCACCGCAGTCGTCATTCACACATCAAAAGGGCACAGAGACCCGCACATCAGCCATCTGAGGAAGCCAAAACTTTATCTTGTGGAATTTATCTAATTGTAGTTGATATGAAAACAAATGTTGATCACTTGCAACAGTTTTTCATATGAGCATGAAGGCTTGATAAATGTTTAAAACTCTCTCCACACTGAGTGCAGTAGTACGGCTTCTCTCCAGTATGAAAACGCTCGTGTGATTTCAGAGATCCAGACTTAGAGAAACTCTTGTCACAATATGAGCACTTGTGAGGTTTTTCTCCAGTATGAATCCTCTGGTGCCGTTTCAGATGACTAGATCTAGTAAAGCTCTTCCCACAGTCACAACACACATGATCTCTCACTTCATCATGTGTTTTCTGGTGCCGTTTACAAGTGAGCAGTCGTGAAAAACTCTTTCCACAGAGAGAACACACATAAGGCTTCTCATCTGAATGAACTTTCAGGTGTGATTTTAAATGTGACGACGAAATAAACTCTTTACCACACTGATCACAGTTAAATGGTTTTTCTCCAGAGTGAATATGCAGATGATACTTGTATGAAGATATGAAACTCTTTCCACACTGAGTGCATGGATACGGTTTCTCTCCAGTGTGAATTCTCATGTGTGTCTTAAGGTTTCCTTTTTGTCTGAAACTCTTTCCACACTGAGCGCAGGAGTGCAGCTTATTGGCTTTTGTTCCTTGAGTTTTGAAGTCACAGTGTTTCTTTACTTCATTCAGTTCTTCTCTTAGCTCTGTTATTTCCATCTGATCTAAAAATGAACATAATAAGTAGTCATAATCAGTTTGAGGATCATTTCAAGTAAAATTCAAGTGAACACAAGCAGACAACAAGAGAATAGGTTTCTGTCTGTGTGAGAATAAAGTAGCAGATCTTTGATGTCGAAGGTTTGTTATATCATTCTCATTAATTTGAATAATTAACATTTATTTGACACATTGCTATATACAACATTACGATAATTTAGATGAATTTCTACATCATTTACCATCAATAAACTACTTATTATTTCACAGCCACCAAAGCATCAACAATGAAGAATCAAGAATGGACACCAACCTGTTTGTTCCTCAGTATCTTCATGTTTTATTCTGGATGGTTCTGGATCACTCATGTCTTCAATCTCCTCTTTAATAAACTCCATCTTTAACAGTCACACAGATTTCAGCTGCTACTCCTGGAGTTTGTCCTTCTCTTGTAGGATGATGGGAATATTCATTTATTGGTGAATTCTTGTGGGAGGGGCTTCACTGCAGGTGTGAACTGTGATCACTGTGTGATACTGACGCCCACAGGACCAGATCTGGAATCTGAAAGTTACTGAATGTATACTAAATTAATTACTATATAGTTAAGTATATTTCCTGTTAAAAAATAATGTTTTGACTAGGTTGTATATTATCATAATATAAAACAAATCTATATGGTCATCCGTGTCAAAACAACCAAATTTAAGAAACTTCTGAAATGTTCTTAAGTTAATTTTTGTAAAAATTTGTAAAAGAAAAGAACAACTGAATTTACACTGAATTACTTTCACTGCAGTTATTTTCAACATTTGTTTTAACAACTGTTAAAACAACAGTTTTACTACAAACTAACTACAAAATTAACAAAACACTTACTTGGATGAGCTTAAAACAACAGTTTCTCAACCCGGACTCTACGCATAAGGTTAGCACAAGAGGAGGCCATGCTTCTCTCCAACCAAAAATTCTCCAACTTCTTCTTCTTCTTCTTCTTCTTCTTCTTCTTCTGATTAATGGCAGATCATATATTTACGATATATACCGCCACCTACTGGACTACTACACAGGAGTGTGTAAAAAGGACGTTGGCAAATGATACATCAAATCATAAAAAAAAAATTATAATAAAAAAAAAAACCCACTAAATTCTTAAACCAGTATCATTAAGATATATAATTAAATATTTGCTTCTTTGTCCCTGCATTCCTTGTTCCTGTAAAATATTATGAATATCATTTTCTGCATCAGCGTCTTTCCATTTCTGTCTGAATTTGTCAAATTTCTTACATTTAAATAAAACATGGGTGACATCCTCCAATACTTTACATTCAGAGCATATGCCATTACTTTTACCTATTAAGGATAAAGTGGAATTAAGGCCTGTGTGACCCAACCTCAATCTGGTTATCACACCTTCTTCATGCCTATTAAGACCCAATGAGGTGATTCTTTTCCCTCCAACACAGTTCTGGTTCCTATGATAATGTCTGGCATTCTTCTCGAACTCCCATTCATCTTGCCACTTTAGTGTAATCTGTGATTTAATTAAAGCTTTAGCATCTCCTTTACCCAATGGAATGTGAATTTGTACTTGGTCTAATTCCAGAGCTTTTTTAGCTAACTTATCAGCAATTTCATTGCCATCAATTCCATAATGTCCTGGAATCCAACAGAACTGTACCACTAACCCAAGGCTTATAAGATTTAAAAGAAGATGCTTTACTTCTAATACTAAATCTTCACGTATTGCATTATCTGTTATAAAACTTTGTAATACTGCCATAGAGTCAGTACATATAACAGATCCATACCTGTCAAGTATCCCGTTTTGGCCGGGAAAGTCCCGTATTTTACCCTTCTTTCCCGCCGTCCTCCCGTATTAGGATTTTCCCGTAAATCTCCCGTATTTTAACCTGCGTTATTAAAAAATAATAATACCCCGGGCGGAGTAAAAAAAAAAAAAACATTCCCAATCTGAGCTGTGTCACTAGCCTCGCGATAACTACAGGTAACGTTACTGTAGGTGGCAGTTGTCGCGAGGTTAGTGTGTGAGGTCAGATGATGAGTGACAACGCGGGGAAAACAGAGACGGATGATGGACGCTATGACAGAGCAAGGCACTCCTGCCAAAAAAAAAAAACCCTCATGTACTAGTAAATACCGCGATCAATGGGATAGCGAATTTACTTTTCTGAAGAGGAGCAGGGTGGGGGACAGTCACGCGTTTTGTAAGTTTTGTAACTGCTACTTTAGCATCTCACACGGGGAAGGAATGATGTATGTCAGCACGAGAAAGGGTGTTTAGCATGGTAGGCTACGAAAGATTGTTACAGAGAATAGGATGACGTTAGACAACAGAACTGTTTGCTCTACTCTCATGTAAAATTAATTAACCACTCTGGCCCAGCCCACAATACACTCCTTCCAAAACAGTTAATACAAAGTCTGCAACAAATTTGTTCAATAACTCACTAAAAGAGTAAAGAAAAGAAAAACTGCAAATGAAAAGAAAAACTGTAAAAGAAAAGCTATATGAAATGAAAATAATGTGTGGAATGAAAATAAAATGTAAACAATCAATGTTAAATGAACAGAAAATAGGCAAATAAGCCTTTAAATAAATGCTCTTAATATATACCCTATATATACCATACATATATATATATATATATATATATATGGGGTGGTGGGACTGCTCGCGGTGGGCGCTGGAAAATTTCCCTTATTTTCAAATCCAAAACTTGACAGGTATGAACAGATCTCAGAGGTTTAGTCTCTTCAACCCACCTAAGGGCAGTAATTATTGCAGTCATCTCTATTGAATATACTGATAAATGGTCACTCACTCTGTACCCATATCTTTTTCCAAATTCTGGAATGTAAATTCCAATACCACAATGACCCTTGGATTCTTTAGAGCCATCTGTAAATATTTCCAAATATCCATAATATGAAGTTTTTAAATAACTTAAGCAGGCTTCAGTAAAACTTTGCTTAGTGTGATGCTCACCTTTTCCCGCTAATAAATTAATATTTACCTCTGGTACAGGAAGCAGCCATGTAGGAACACAACTTAACGCTAATGCTGGGCCATACTTCAACTCTTTTAATCCATAATGGTTTACTAAATTGCCAATATTCCAACCAAACCCACTGGACTTTTTACAATATTCCCAACAATCACTAAGTACTGACAGAGCTGGGTTGTTGAAACTTCCTTTTAACCTTACCCAATAAGTTAGTGATAATTTCTCATACCTTAAATTAATAGGGGTTTCCTTAGATTCAACTAATAAAGCACTTGTATGAGTTGTTTTAAAAGCACCAAGGGCAATCCTCAAAGCCTTAAATTGCATTCTTTCAATTTTCTTGAGGGATGTCTTACAAGCTGAGCTATACATTATACAGCCATAATCAATATTTGATCTTATCAATGCTTTATATATGTTCATCAGAGACAGCCTGTCAGCTCCCCAATTATGCCCAGTGACCATTCTCATAAGGTTAATTACCTTTTTACACTTTGTTTCAACATATTTTATGTGAAATTTCCATGTAAGTTTGGCATCCAACCATATTCCTAGGTACTTATATTTTTCACTTCTTTCAAGTTGCTGATTATAAAGCATAATTTTATAAGTTTCAGGGACTTTTTTCCTAGTAAAATAAACAACCTGTGACTTTGAGATAGAAAATTTAAAACCCCAATCAACTCCCCACTGTTCAAGTACATGAATGTCCTTTTGAATCTTATCATTAACATATGAAATGTTACGTCCTCTTCTCCAAATGACAGCATCATCTGCATATAATAGACCTTCGTTACTATCTCCCAGTTTTTCATATATGTCATTAATCATTATGTTGAACAATATAGGACTGATAACACTCCCCTGAGGAATTCCATTTTCAACAATAAACTCATCAGACACTGCATCTCCCACTTTTAACCCTAATGGAACGTTTAGAAAGAAAATCAAGTATATAATTATACATTTTCCCATTAATTCCCAATTTTCCTAATTTAATCAACAAACCTTCTCTCCACATAGTATCATAGGCTTTCTCAATATCCAGAAAAACTGCCGCCATTAGTTCTTTCATTATTAAAGTCTTTTCAATTTCATTGCATACTTTAACCAGAGCATCAGTTGTTGACTTACCCCTCCTAAATCCAGTTTGATACCCTTTAATTGGATTTATGTATTCTAGAAAATAATTTAAACGTCCAACTATAATTTTTTCCATTAATTTTCCAAAATGTGAAGTGAGTGCAATAGGCCTATAGTTTCCTGGATCACTTGAGTCTTTACCTGGTTTAGGAAATGGAAGAATTCTTGCCACTTTCCACATGCTTGGTAATTTACCTTCATTCCATACTTTGTTAAACAGCTTAAGAACTTTCTCCAATATATTATCAGGTAGTTTTCTAAACATAGCATAACACAGGTTGTCCGTCCCTGGTGCAGAGTATGCAGAATTACTCAATGCCCTTTTAAGTTCTGACATATTAATTTCAGCATCCATAATAGACATATTTGACTCTTTGGTATTTCAGATATTCCTATTTATTTCCAATACCTCTTCTTTCCTTTTCATATACCGCTCCTCCAGGTGGCTACCCTTGTGTATGTCTGCAAAAGCTCTAGCAAGCATATTGGCTTTTTCCAAATCTGAGATTGCATGGGTCCCATCTTTAATTAAAACAGCAACCTGAGGAGGCTTAAATTTGCCTATCATCTTCTTAATCATCATCCATACTTTATTTAACGCGGTCTCTTTTCCTATTGTTGAGCAAAACTGTCTCCATGAATCTCTCTTAGCCTCTTTAATAACCTTCCTGGCTAATGCCTTCTTCCTTTGGTAGTTAATAAGATTGTCCATTGTTAATGTTCTACGCAAGTTCTTAAACGCTCTATTCCTGTCCTTGATAGCCTCTGAACACTTATCATTCCACCATGGAACATTGATTTGCTTCTTTTGATTTTGACTAACAGGAACG